CCGCTCCTGTTAGTAACATGGCTGCCGCGCGCTGGACTAGCTGGAGCTTCCGGGCCGTCTTCAAGGGCAGCCCCATGTAGAGAGCGTTGCAGTAGTCAAGGCGGGATGTGACCAGAGCGTGTACTACCGTGGCCAAGTCAGACTTCCCGAGGTACGGGCGCAGCTGGCGCACGAGCCTGAGCTGTGCAAATGCTCCCCTGGTCACCGCTGAAACCTGGGGATCCAGGCTCAACGATGAATCCAGGATCACACCCAAGCTGCGAACCTGCGCCTTCAAGGGGAGTGCGACCCCATCCAGCACAGGCTGTAACCCTATACCCTGTTCGGCCTTGCGACTGACCAGGAGTACCTCTGTCTGGTCTGGATTTAATTTCAATTTGTTCGCCCTCATCCAGACCGTCACAGCGGCCAGGCACCGGTTCAGGACCTCGACAGCCTCCTTAGTAGCAGGTGGAAAGGAGTGACAGAGTTGGACATCAACTGCGTACAGATGACACCGCACCCCGAAACTCCGGATGATCTCACCCAGCGGCTTCATGTAGATATTAAATAGCATGGGGGACAGTATAGAGCCCTGTGGAACCCACAAGTCAAAGGATGTGGTGTTGAACAGGTGTCCCCCAATAACACCTTCTGGGTGCGGCCCTCCAGAAATGACCGGAGCCACTGTAGAACAGTGCCCCCGAGGCCCATTTCCACAAGACGCCCCAGAAGGATACCGTGGTCGACGGTATCGAAGGCCGCTGAGAGGTCCAGGAGCACCAACAGGGACACACTCCCCCTGTCTAGCTCCCGGCGCAGATCATCCACTAAGGCGACCAAGACCGTCTCGGTACCATGTCCCGGTCTGAAACCAGACTGTGCCGAATCCAGATAATCCGTGTCTCTCAAGAATACCTGGAGTTGTGAGGCCACTACGCTTTCCATGACTTTGCCCAAAAAGGGGAGATTGGAAACTGGCCGAAAGTTGTCAAATCTAGTGGGGTCCAGTGATGGTTTTTTCAACAGCGGTTTTATAATAGCTTGTTTTAAGCTCGCTGGAATCTTCGCCTTCCCGAAGGGAGGCGTTAACCACCACCGTTACCCACTCAGCCAATCCCCCTCTGGCCTCCTTCAGAAGCCAGGATGGGCAGGGGTCTAGGATGGACGTAGTAGGCCTCATTCCTCCAAGTATCTTGTCCACATCCTCGGGCTTCACCAATTGAAAAGAATCCATCAAAATAGGACAAGCAGGTGCTCGTGTCACATCCTCAGAGACTGCATTTAATATGGTGTCCAGACCGGAACGGATCAAAGCGACTTTGTCTGCAAAGAACCGAGCAAATGCTTCACAGCGCGTGGCCGAATTGTCAGGGCTCCCGCCTGAGGTGGCGGGAGTTAAAAGACCTCTGACAATCCGGAACAACTCCGCCGGACGGTTCCTTGCAGACGCAATAGTGGCCACAAAGAAAGTTTTCTTTGCGGCTTTTATTGCCGCGGCATATGCCCTTAAAAAGGACACAAACCGTGTTCGATTTGACTCGCTCGGATCCGAACGCCACACGCTCTCTAGTTCCCTCTTCCTTCGCTTCATCACTGCCAGCTCCTCAGTAAACCAAGGAGCTGGTTTAGCTCGGCTACTTGAGAGGGGACGTTCCGGAGCGATCGTGTCAATTGCCCTGGCCATCTCTCCATTCCAGAGAGCGACCAAGGCCTCGACAGGGTCACCTACCGAGGTGGCGGGAAAATCCCCAAGAGCCGTCAGGAATCCATCCGGATCCATAAGCCTCCTGGGGCGGACCAACTTAATGGGTCCTCCACCTTTGCAGAGGTTGGGGGGCGCAGTGAGCCTAAATCTGACCAGGTGGTGGTCGGTCCATGGCAACGGAGAGATGGTCAACTCCTCAACACCGCCACCTTGTTCCCATCCCTGACAGAAAACCAAGTCCAATGTATGTCCAGCACAGTGGGTGGGGCCAGATATTTGTTGGGACAGCCCCATGGTTGCCATGGCAGACATGAAGTCCTGAGCCGCTCCTGTGAGGGCCGTCTCGGCATGGATATTGAAGTCTCCCAGCACAAGAAGCCGTTGAGACTCCAACGCCAGGCTCGAGACCACCCCCGCTAGCTCAGGTAGGGAGACTGTAGTGCAGCGAGGTGGACGGTACACTAACAGAATCCCTATTCTGTCCCGGTCACCCACCCTCAGGTGGACGCATTCAAAATTTGTAGACTGCGGGATGGGACTCCTGGTCAGATGGATGGAATCTCTATAGACCACTGCGACCCCGCCTCCCCGCCCTCCGGATCTCGGCTGATGCTGCACGGAGAAGCCTGGAGGACAAAGCTGAGTCAAATTCACGCCTCCAGCTTCATCCAACCAGGTCTCCGTGATACACGCCAGATCTGCCCGCTCATCCAGGATTAAGTCCTGGATAAAGGTCGTTTTTCCGTTGACCGATCTGGCGTTCAACAGCACCACCTTCAATCCGGAGGGACCGCCAACCTGGTTACACCAATTTACCATAGGAGACCGGTTTGGAATTATTAATGTAGATAAGCGATCTGAATTAGGCCGAATTTGTGGTCTCCTTTTCCCGCATCTCCCCCTCCCCACCACGACTTCTATGGGGGCCCCTCGGCTAGTGGAACACCTCCCCTCCTCCATGCCACGGTCCAACTCCATGATCTCAATTTCTGTTCCATTAATGGTTGTTTGGTTTGTTGGAGTTTTTTCTTGCCAACTTCCTCCATTCCCTTTCTCCCCCCTCCCCACCTCATTTTTATCCACGGCCTCCAGCCCGCTTCGTCCCTTGCCCCTTCCACCAGTCAATATGAAGCACAGCACAAGCCAGCATTTGAACCATACAACATTCCACAACATTATATCCATAGTTATGAAACTAACTAAGACATGCAGTTAAATTGCCCCCCAAAAAATATTCCTGGTAATGTGACATATACACATCCAAGTTATTGGGAAAGGCCATCAATTATAATGAACTGGCTAGTTTCTGCATATACTCATGTGTTAGTCTAGAAATTTTAATCAAAAATATCAACTCAAAAAATCTAGGCTGACTTATCCATGGGTCAATGTACCTTATCAAATAAAGGGACCATCATCTTCACTGAACAGACTAGCAAAATTTGAGAGATTAGTTGTCCCAGGAGAACATAAAGAAACACTGTCCCTTGATTCTGACTTTTTTGAATGTCTGATTAGGGAAATGATAGTAGTGTCAGCAGACTGAAGATGCCAATGACAGATACTGATGAAACATCAGGAGAATATGCTGCTAGAACACAGCCATACAGCCCGGAAACCACACAACACTGGGGGAGACATAAGGGCTATAATTTTGGCACCATAAATGAGATCAACTTATGCATTAGCATATATAGTAACTAAACTGCAGAAGAAATAATATTCCTAGTTAAGTCACATTGTAATGTAACATAGTTACTGGGAAAGGGAATGTCTTACAATGATCTGGTTAGCTATATCTCAAGACTTCCACGTTCTGGGAATTTCAGCTAGTTTTGTCCTTACACAAGAAGCTACAACTATTCAACACCCAATCCAACAAAGTTTGAAAAGGAAAATATGTTCGGTCCTTTTCCAACTGCTACTCCATTGAGCAACCAGGACCAATCTTCAACCAGAAGCACACGCCATCTGCCTCATGCCCTCTGAAGCTTCCCAATTGGCCACCCTGGAAGCAGAGGCTGCCCCTACTACCAGAGGCCAGCCATGACCCTGGTCTTTCTGGGACACAAACACAATGCCCTCATTAAAATGCATATGGCTGGCAGCAGGTCCTGGGTGTAATTAGGACACTGCCCAAGGACAGCGATCAGGGGGTGCAGGAGACCATACAATACACTGTAGATGTAGCAGTGCCTTTATAGGCAAGCCAAGTCCAAAGAAAGAAAGAGGAGGTGGCGAGGGAAAGATGGGAACAGAGCCAAATGCAAAGAAACATGCACACTGAACCAAGCCACTCTGCAGCAAAGGCACAAGCAGCCTAGCATGACAAACAGATGGGGCAGCTGCTCTTTCCATTTCATTACAGCAGAACAATACAAACACCATCAGGACCAGTATAGAAGCCAGTGGGATACCAGTGGCCTACACAGATGAAATGTAAAGCAGGAAGAGAAGATGTAATACCCCCAACAGAAAGGAGAGAAAAACAGGAAACTGAGGCATCAACAGAAGAACATAGCAAGCATCCTTTTACCAGATCAAATTCTGGGTCCAGACAGCCCAGTATTAATCTATTCTGATTTCCAGAAGCTTTTTCTGAGATCTCAAAAGCAGAGACCTTCTTCACATCTCCTGTTACCTAGTTCCTTCAACTGGAAGTGGCAGGGATTGAAACTGGGACTTTCTACAGCGAAACTTGTGTTTTTAGCACTCATTATGATTCCTCTCTGGAGAGCAAAATCTGTTCTTTTTCTCACAGAAGTCAAAAAATGATTATAAAAATCTGATGTGTTAGCATATTGTTGTTGCTGTAGCAGTTTGTTAGCGCTGAAAAAGATTTTCCTCATATAATATTCACTGAGGGAAAAAGTAACATGTTACATTATTTCTTAATACTAACACCACTTGCTGTAATCTAAAATCATTGCTACATTTTTCAATTGGCTAAACATTATCTAGAAATAGAAGCAGATGTAATGAGCAAGTGTTACTCTTCATACAGTCAAGAAAGTCATGCACTAATATGAAAATGTAAACATATCTGAACACTGCTACCTCTTCATTACCTTCAAAAATAATTATTAGAAATAATGTTACTTAAACGGCACTGCTTCTAAACTACATTTCTGTAATAATTCAAGAGCACAACCCAATGTAGAATATAGAATAGCTAAAATATAAGATTAAAATAAGATTAAATCCAGAATAGTTAGCATGAAACAGTTGACAAATGATTTTCCAAAATGGCTTGTGTAAGGTCAGCAATGAAACCAACAAGGATACAGCTACTGGAAAAGGAAGAGAGCCTTACCTGCTGCATTTTTTCCAGGTCAAGGCTGGGCCTACTGACCTTGTCTCCATAGCCTTGTCGGTGTCGTTTACAGGGCATCACTTGTTCAAAGCTGGCTCCCACACTGGTAAAAATTAGAGGCCGGGAGGTTGGGGTGCAAACCAAGGGCTGGAGTCTTTTGGGAGGGGAGGCACTAAAGAGCACAGGGCTAGGGCTGGCATGCAAGCGGTCTGCAGCTTCAACCACAGGCCGGAAGGACATGCCACACAAGTTCTTCACTTCTTCGTCACTAGAGGAGGTGTTGTAGTTGTCACCACAGCAGGCCAGCCTGTTGACCTGTGACCACTTCCGTTTTTCAGCAGAAAACTCACAGCTGATACGTTCAAGCTCCTCTTCAGAACTGTGACGATCCAGACCAGGAGGAAAATGCATTTTGCAGCACTGGTTTTCTTGATTCTGCAGCTGGTTGGTTGCCAGAGGAGTCAATGTGCAATTTCGTCTTCTTTCTGAGAAAGTATGTAAGACACATAGATGTTTAAGTGGGTAATAAGGAAGAGTTTGTCTTGCTCATCACACGCTTGATGCTACCATTAGACAGAAGAAGTTGGCTGTCTTAGTTAACAATATTTTTGGTGACATTAAAAGGTTACAAAAGTTAGCTATTTATTGTGATCCATCTTTTCTTATTCCCAAGATAAGAGCAGAGGTACCTCCATGGATAGTTGGCCATGGATACCTTGATGGTGCTGTACCATTTGTGTTTCTGTTTTATGCAGCAAAATGTCCTAGGCAAGTCTTGAGCTAAAACATATGATCCCTACCCTACTCCATCTCTGCACTAAGAAAGGTAAGTTAGTATTTGAAAAGCATGGATGCATTCTTGAAAGTACCACCATCAAGGATTATGATGACTAAGCGAAAGAAAAGAGAAGAAAACTGGAAGGCTGAACACAACTGTAATGATTACCAATCAACACATGAACAACAAGCAGGAAACTTTACTGGTTGACCAAGATGCTCTTAAAAAGTGCTGCTCAAATGATCTGATGGGAGAGAGTGGCTATTTTTTTTCTGCAGTGTACCTGTTAAGAGGGTTAACAACACCTATGGGCCACTATACTCACTACAACCTTTCTGGGAATTGTAGTCCTATGTATCTAAAGGGCACAAGACTGGGACAGCTAGTTTATGCAATTCTGAGCTAGATGGCTCAATGTTCCTACTCAATAGAAGTTAGCTTCCCATGTCCTACAAACTTCCCCCTCGACTCAAGCCTTCTTTTAAGCCTTTGATACTACTGGTAATGCAACTCCCCAAAGAAAAATTATGCAAATCATCAATAATAGTATTAAGTTGCAAGATGCCCCAGCTTTACATAAATGCCTGACCATGAAGATAACACTTGATAGGGATTTCTCTTTCTATCCTAGGGCCAAAAGATATCAGAACATAACTGATCTTGGAAGATAAGCAGAGTCAACTTTGATTAGTACTTGGATGGGAGAATTCCAAAGAAAACCAAGTGCCATGGACATGTCAGATGAAGGAAATGACAAAACCACTCCTGGATATTGCTAGTCTTAAATAAAAGACCCTATGAAATTAATGGGGTCACAGTAGTTGACAGGTGATTTGGCCCAGCTGAAAACAATATGTTGTGAAATAGTTTTTAAAAGATGGATGTGACATGCATTCCAGGCACAGTGGAAAGCAGAATTTAGAAAAGTTTCTTCTTGGTCTATAATCTCCAGAATCCCTCAGCCAACATGACTAGTCATGTAGCAGGGTGACAAGAAACTGTAGTCAACAAAAGTAACTTTTCCGAGCACAGCTGGAAAACCACTGAAAGCATTGATTGCCTAGTCCATACGCACACGCGTGCATGCACGCACACCTATGACATACTCTTCCAATCTATATGTTTCTGGTTGCTGAAAGAGTTTACCTTTGTCAATCAGAGCAAGTTCTTGGTTCTCTCCCTCAGAATCATCACTGTCATCTTCATCACTTGAGGGGTAGGAAATCTAGAAGAATAACAAAAGGATGTAATATGAAATATGGACAGGCAGATTTCTCTGCTTCATGTCTATGTTGCTTATGCATGTGTCATTCATCTTGAAGTCCCTGTTTCCACAGTAATCTGCTTCAACTCATTTCTAAATTATGGCAGCCCTAAAGAGGACCTATTAAAAGATTGCCTTGGCAATTTTTTCAGAGAAGGCTTGTCTTTGGTCTCCTCTGAAGATGACAAAATGTGACTTGCCCAAGGTCACCTAAAAGTGTATGTGGTCAAGTGGAAATTTAACTCCTGATCTTCAAAAACCGAATTCAATGCTCAAATCTCACCATGCTGGCTCTATACTAGCCTGAACTTTGCATGGAAGTGAAAAGCCATGGACAATAGCAAACTCTATTATTTTCAATGGAACAAATGATGGAAGAACTCAAAATGGGGTGTAGCTTGTACAGGAAGTCCTAAGTGAATAAGTGAAACCATGGATAAGTGAAGCCATGTATATCGTTTCCATGAATGCAGGGGTCTTAACATATATCAATCTTTTATTTCTATCAATGTATTTCCCTTAAAACAGATTAGTTTTCATACTTAAGAATTCAAACTTAGCCCATGTTGCTACGTTTCTACTAGAGCAGTGGTTCTTAACCTGTGAGCCGCAGACTACCATTGGGCCTCGAGTATGAAAATCTGGTCTGCAAGCCACTTTCCTCTTAATTTATTTTATTTCTGTTCCTTTCACGCCACCTGCCACTCCTTCCCTGTAACTGACATAGCATATGTTCCGTATCAGAAACTAGAGCTGATGTGGTCTATCCAGTGCAATTTTCTGAATCAGCACCCCAAACTGAATCTAAAGTTGACCAAAAACTGACTTGTAACCTTTTTGGTACTAATGTTGGAGAGTGGTCCCTGGTCAAAAAAAAGTTGGGAACCATTGTACTAGAGAAAACTCATTCAATCAACTGCCAAATGATTAAATCAAGATGTAAGTAAATTACATTGTTTCAGTGGTTCTACTCTACTGGGTTGTTGTAGCGTTTTTTTTTTGGGAGGGGCTATATGGCCATGTTCTAGAGGCATTCTCTCCTGACGTTTTGCCTGCATCTATGGGAAGCATCCTCAGAGGTTGTGACCTCACAATCTCAGAGGATGCTTCCCATAGATGCAGGCAAAACGTCAGGAGAAAATGCCTCTAGAACATGACCATATAGCCTGAAAAAACCTACAACAACCCAGTGATTCCAGCCATGAAAGCCTTCAAGTTCTACTCTACTCTACTATTAATTTATTTGCAGTACCCATTTAGACATAAAACATATATAGACAGACACAGAGGCATTTAACATTCCAGCTTTTCCAACTTCATGAGGGTATGCTCGATTCCGGCCACAGGGGGAGCTGCCACTTGTGACACTGAGTCCTTTGATGGAGTACTTCCTCATTCTTCTGCATGCTGCTGAAAGGTTTTATTAAATTAGTTAAATTAGCATCCCTGTATAAATCAGAACCTAAATTTCCTACTTGACAGATGCAACTGTCTTTCGGGCTGCATGGGTTGACAGCAAACTAGACTATTAATGGTCGGGAGCTTACTCCAACCCAGGCTACCTTTGAACTCGTGACCTCTCGGTTAGCAGTGATTTAATGCAGCTGGCTACTAACTAGCTGCACCACAGCCCAGTGAGGACTAATGATAACATTTAGGCTAAAGCATTTTTACTTTTCAAAGAAACTGACAACCTGATATTCAGTAAGGCCCAGTTAAAATATATGCACCATTTAAATCTCCTTCCATCTTGAATTATACTACTGTAATTACTAAATCTGGGAGGAACCATGAGGTCATTCATACTGTGCAATGCTATGGTTCCACATTAACTGTCAGAGTTTAACTAGGAAGTTCTATTGCACTGTACGTCCTTGATTTTTGCAAGAGGGTGAGTGGGTGGGTTAAAGTATTGGGCTCACATTTTTAAAAATTCTCCAAGCTTCAGTTAGAAGATTTCAGGTTCTTGTTAAAACAAACATTGGAAAAGGATGGCCTCCCAAGTCAAGAATGTTGCACCATGGATACATTTTTTGAGAACTCCAAACTGCATATAGATGCTCTTGAATCTTAAGTGTTTTGTTTGTGTGGATGAATGTGATCAAGGCAATGTTTTCTGAATTCCTTTTACACATTATTCATCAAACCCAAGTGACACACACTAGTATGTGTAGACATTATATGACCCTACACTGGAGTAGGGGAAGAGAGATGTAGAGGTTACTATCGAAGAGCACACATATCTTGCATCAGAAATATACTACTACTGCTCTCTGAAGTCCTTGCAAGACTGGCTTTGCCTCCACAGGAAGCTGCAGCTGTGTTTATTTGTGGGGGAAATGGCTTTAGGGAGGGATTTACTGTAGCAACTTCTCTTTCACCTTCAAACATGTTGCCCCCCCCCCCACCAACCCACCCACCCGCGCGCCTCTTCAAGGCTGGAAAAATCTTTATATATTCTCCACCAACAGCTACTTTTCCCTTAAGAGCATAAGACAATAAAGTTGGCGAAAAACAAGTGTGGTTAAATATTTGGAATTACTCGTGCCCTTCTCTCTTCACCCCCAGCCAAGCCTGGGGAACAGATGTATTAAGAATAGCCTTTGGCCATCTCTAGGAGTTGAGCTTTTCTATGAACTCCAGTTGCTGGAAGCCCCTTCCCACCAAGCCATCAGCGATAATAGAGTAACAGTTTACACAGCCAGAGGATATCCTGTTGAAGAAGACTAGTCAAGAATATGGACTATAGAAGCATCATTTCAAATGCAACAGAGGAAAAAAGTTAAGGCCAAACTAAAACACTTGGAAAGTCATGCTTTTCTGAGGAAATTTCTAATTTCTAATCTTATATTTTTCCTTAGAAAATGGACTGCATCTGAGCCACATATGATCATTTTTTGGTAGCAGCTGTGCTCAAACCCATGTAGATACACTCTGCCAACAACATCCCAGAACATCCCAGAAAATTAGCAGAATGGTGACCAGACTATCACATTTGCTGCTCCTACAGCAACTATAGTAGGGAAATAGCAATGCTCCCCGTGCAAATGATAGTCCTGTGAAACTTTTGGAAATTTTCATAATGCAAAAGGTTGTCCATCACTCATACAAAAATCAGAGGGAGAATTTTAGGAAGCAATTTTCTTTCAGATCTGTATAAATGTAAGCTTCACTGGCTCCAAAAACATGTTTAACATAGGGAAAGAGCATTCCAAACTACAGTAAATTTGAAACAAGAGTTTGAGGCCACACTGACTTCCACACAGCCCATGGAGTACTGTTAAACCTAGGGCCCTTCCACACAACCCTATATCCCAGAATATCAAGGCAGAAAATCCCACAATATCTGCTAATGTGGGATTTCCTGCCATGATATTCTGGGATATAGAGCTGTGTGGAAGGGCCCCAAGAACTCAAATATAGGGCATCCAATCTTCTATAAGATGTTGAAATTCATAATCTTCAGTGAGCCGTAATATTTATGTGGGGTTGAACAAAAGCAATTGTCGAATTACCTTCCCACCAGAGCGGTACCTATTGATCTACTCACATTTCCATGTTTTTGAACTGCTAGGTTGGCAGAAGCTGGGGCTAACAGCGGAGCTCATGCCGCTCCCTGGATTCAAACCTGTGACCTTTCGGCGAGCAAGTTCAGCAGCTCAGCACTTTAACTCACTGCGCCACTGGGAAGGGGAAAACCTGTTGCAGATTGAACACATCTTTTATCCATCAAAGCAAGTTCTTGGTAACTCTGTTGTGGATCCAAATACAGCATCCTATTATGAGTCAACTGCCACAGCCTGCACTGCTAACCTCCCACTTGTTTCTCATGTCCCCTTCTGCTATTTCCATCTCTTGGAGGTCAGATACCTACACCTATTGGCTAGGATGCTATGGGTTCTACAACATTGCAACAATGAGTTTCTCCAGGTCTCCATGACATAGGTGATAATATTTATTTATTTGACCAGTCATATGATCATTTCAAAATAGAACACGAGTAAAAAAACAAGGCAAAAAGGTGAGGACAGCAGCTGACCTTCTATTTATAGTCAGAATCTTATTTTCCTGGTTCTTCTTTCAGGAAATCTGCTCTTTTCTTAATAGCTTTCAGAGTACCATGACATAGGTGAAAAATGCCTTTTCTAGTGTCCTGACCAATATAACAATTAATAGAGAATCAATAGCTTGCGGGGAGGGGGTTTGAAAAATATTGCTAAGAGGGAAAAAGGTAAAAGAGAGAGAGATGAAATCCTGATGAAATAATGAATTAAAACAGCAAAAATCACTGACTGAGGTGAAACTTTTCAAGACAGCGAAGGCAATTCAAACTAGCAACTGATAACCAGCACTGTTGGTCTCCATAAGGAATACTCACACTGGGTTCCTTCCTTGTTTGCTCATTTCCATAATTTTTAATTGGTTGTTAACTTCTTAAATCCATAATATAAAGAAATATTGTTGAATGTCCGTTAGAATGAAGAATGACTGCCTGTCTGTCACTCCTCATCCATAATTGGAGACTATTGGGAGGCAGGAGAATTGGACAGCCACCCACATAGTGGGCCACATGCAAACTCATGGGTGGAGCCTCAAATGGATTGTGAAAAGCTTCAATGCTGCTTGGATGGATTTAACCAAAACATCTTTGTTAGAACATAACAATCAACCTGTTTGTAAACAATAGACATCCAAGACTATTGGGGGAAGAGTCATATTACCATTGTGTTTGTCATTCCTTATCGCACGTTGTTCTTTCTTGCCCTTTCTCCTGAAATCATCCATTTTCAGATTTATCACACAAGCGGGTACAGTTCCTGCCCACTCCAATAAAAAATAAGAAAAGAAAACCTTGGGGCGGCGGGTTGAGGATACTGGGCTTTCCCCTCCAATCATGTTGCTCTGGAATAGACTCCTGACACTGACCTTAAAGAATGCACCATGTTGGGGATACTGGACTT